CTAAACTGTCTCTCCAGACCCTACAAAATACCTCTTGGGCTTTACATTTTTATCTGTCTATCTATCTATCTATCTATCTATCTATCTATCTATCTATCTATCTATTTGGGCAGCATGCATACACCATGGTGCACCTGCAGAGATCAAAGGGCAACTTGCAAAAATCCTTTCTTTCTTTTCACCATGTGGATCAGAGGGATTGAACTCAGGTTGTTGGGTTTGGCAGCAAGCACCTTTACCACTGAGCCATCTCTGAGAATAGCAATAAGGACTAGCATCTCTGGGGAATGACTTTGTTCCCAAGAGATGGAACTTTTTCAGATTGGCAACTGTAGGTCTTGGCCAAGAAGTTCTCCCCCCTCCCAAATCTCTCTCTCAAGTTTCTTCCTTGTGATGCATATGATTCACAGATAAAAAGTGCATGGTGTGGGGCTGGAGAGATGGCTCAGATGGTTAAGAGCACTGACTGCTCTTCCAGAGGTCCCGAGTTCAAGTCCCAGCAACCACATGGTGGCTTACAACCATCTGTAGTGAGATCTGATGTCCTCTTATGGGGTGTCTGGAGACAGCTACAGTATACCTACATATAATAAATAAATAAATAAATAAATAAATAAATAAATAAACCTTTGGGCCAGAGCAAGCAGGGCTGGGCAGGCGAAGAGAAGGGGGGGGGGGAAGTGCATGGTGTAAATGAACAGTTAAGCAAAACCCTCAACAGGGTGATAGAACACTTACCTTGCTCAAGGACCTGGTTCCATCTTAGCACTGTAAAATACAAACAAACCAAACCAAATCAAAACAGACAAACAACCAGAGCTAGGGAAATGGCTCATGATGTAAAGTACCTGCTTTGCAAGATCAAGTATCTGAGTTCAGATCCCTGGCATCCATGGCAGAATGACGCAGTACAATTCTGTAGGAAGCGAAGATGTTATGTCCAAGTCACAGGGATCCCAAAGGCCACCGAGGAGCCAATTCCAATATAAAACATGTAAAGGTCTTTATTATGAGCTCTCCAGCAAGGTCTCTCACTTCCTCGCCACAGCGGGTCAGAGTGAGAGCCTGAGGCTGGGGGTGCAGGGTGTTTATTGTGATTACAGAGAGCTTGGGGACTTTCCATACAGGTCAGCAAGTTAATGTTTTAAAACTAAATTTCTGGCGTACTCTGCAAGAACCGAACATGGGGACAAAACCATCTGACAAACAGGATGGCTAAGTTATCTATTTTCTGCAGGATGTCCTAAGTTGTCTATATATACCTTGATCCTGCTATTGTAGCCTAACTGGCTGTTGCTAGGGAGGGGGAAAGACTCTGTTGCCCAGGAGGACTCTGTGATTTTCATTCTGGAATTGGAGTTCAGCCTCTGGTCTTGGACAAAATGGACTTTCTTCAAAAACAGAGTTGGTTAGGCAGATACCTGAAGCTCCTTAGCCAGCCAGCTAGCTTAGCCAAAAAAAAAAAAAAGTTTCAAATTCAGAGAAAGATTGTCTCCAAAAATATCATATGTGGGGGCTGGTGAGATGGCACAATAGGTAAACTGGCTATCTGCTAGCCCAGTGACCCACATTTGCTCCTTGGGACCCATACGGTAGGAGAGAAAGAGCTTCTGAAAGCTGCTCTCTGTCTTCCACACTTATAGTATGGCACATGCACAAGTACACACACAGGCACACACACACTGTAATAAAAAAAAATGAAACAAGGTGAAGAGTAGTTGAGAAAGACACCTCATGTTAACCTCTGGTCTCTACAGGTGCATGCACACACCACACACACACACACACACACACACACACGTTCACACTTCTACATGAACGTGTGCACACACAAACAAGTGCACACACCACAGACACATTAGTGAATGAATGAATGTTTGAATGATCCCCAGATTAAGATATAGGCTATTGCGAGCTACCACCAACCACAAAAGTTTCCTAGATGTCTCCTCCTACGTTTAACCTTCCAAAGTAGCTCTCTGACTTTTGGAGACCATTGGTCTCCACCAGGCATGTGGCGTAAACCTGTTATCTCAGCATTTGGGAAGTGGCGGCAGAACAGAAAGCTCAGGGTTATCCTCTACTGCATAGCCAGTGTGAGTCTAAAATGCGCTACATGATACCCTGTCACATACAAAAATTCTTTGTAAGTTTTTAAAATATGCATGGCAGTGCTGGTGCCCTCAGAGGTCAGAGCTGCAGGATGCCTATAGCTGGACTTACAGGAAATTGCGAGCTGCCTGATGTGGGTGTTGGGAACTGGACTATGGCCCTATGAAAGAGGAGTATGTACTCTGAACCTCTGAGTTATCCCTCCATCAAAACACACACACACAGACACACACACACACACACACACACACACACACGGCTTCTTAAATGTTTGAGAGCCCTTGAGATGGCACGTGCCATCATGTCTAGTGTGCGGGCAAATAGGAAGGAGTCGGGAAGTAGGACAGAGTTATGTAGAGCTAGGTACTACGGAATGGATATTTGGCTGTGACCATGGACAGTGCAAAGATGCAAATCGAGGCTTTACAAGAAGAGGGTGAGATAACACATGCCGTTTCCCTACCCTCTGGCTATTGGATAGAACAAGGAGTGTCAAGGAGACCGTGCAGGCTACTCCAGTCTGTCGGGAGAACTGTGAGAACTTAGGCGAAGGGATACATAGAAACCTGTGAATGTATTTAAGGTGGATACTGAGGGTAGCATGAAGAGGGCTAGTTCTGCATATTTGTGGCTTATCCATGTCCATTGTACATTTAATCCTGGCATTCAGGTGGTGTGGGCATGTGTATCTCTATGAGTTCAAATCTAGCCTGTTCTACATGGTGAGTTCCAGGCTAACCAAAGCTATATAGTGAGATGCTGTCTCAAAAGTAAAGTCTAGAAGCCAGGTGGTAGCGATGCATGGCTTAATCCCAGCACTTGGGAGGCAGAGGCAGGCAGATCTGTGAGTTTGAGGCCAGCCTGGTCTTAAACAGTGAGTTCCAGGACAGCCTGGGCTACACACAGAAATTCTGTCCTGAAAAAAAAAAGTCTAGGACAACTGTGATTGTCTATTTTGTTCACTGTAGGGCACACACGTCTTGCATAGAGGGATCACTTAGTACAGGGATGTGATTGAGAATGTGGGAGCCAACTCCTCCTTCCCTCCTTCCTCGGACTCAGTCTCTTCCTGTATGTATGTATGTATGTATCTTCCTGTACGTCCCCAACCAGTCCCCTTTTAAGAACCAGGCTAATGCAGCCTCTTCAGAGAAGCCCTTTGAGCCATCCTATCTAAGCTGATGTGCTCTGGCCACTGTGTGTGTGTGTGTGTGTGCGCGCTAGAAACTGAATTTAGGTCTAGGACATTGCACATGTATGTTAGGCAGGGGCTCTAGCACTGAGCCATGTCCACAGTAGCTCCTTGATGTATTCTAGGCAAGCCTCTATCACTCATCCAACCCTGCCCCAGCCCCTCACTGGTAGATTCCAGACATTCTACCATTGGTCATCATTCCCAGCATGCTTTTCAATCTTTTCCAAAACAAAACAAAACATTAATTTGTGCGTGCACGGTTAGGTTATGTATGGGAGTGCTACACGTGTGTGGAAGGAAGCCAGAGGACAACTTCAGGTGTCATCCCTGACAGTGGTGTCCATGTCCTTTGAGAGAGGCTCTCTCATTAGCCTCTCTCATGAATAAGGCTAGACTGCCCGCTTAGACTAGGTTGGGCCTCACTAGCCCTATCATTGTGCCTGGAATTTCTATGTGAGCTCACGTCCTCGTGCTTTTGGGTGAGCCATTTCACTGACTGAATATGTCCCTTCCCAGCCCAACCTTTTATTAGGAAGTTGGGGGGCTAACTTACCCAGGCTAGCCTTGGACTTGAGTCTCCTGCCTCAACTTCCTAAGTAGCTAGGGAAACAGGCCTGGACCCAAGGCAGTTGCTCCCACTTCAGCACTCTTCCTTATTGGTGCAAATGTCTTGTTCATTATCATACAAAATTACCACCTCCATCTGATTCTTCCCTCCCTCTCCACACTCACTGCCCACACACTGGAATATAAGCTCTAGGAAGGCCCAGTATTTTCGGCTTTGTTCACCCCCAGGGTCTATGCAGCTTGGTGTGGCCGGGTGGTGGTGGCACACACCTTTAATCCCAGCACTTGGGAGGCAGAGGCAGGTGGATTTCTGAGTTTGAGGCCAGCCTGGTCTACAGAGTGAGTTCCAGGACAGCCAGGGCTATACAGAAAAACCCAAGCAGGGCTATACAGAGAAAAAAAAAAAAAGAAAGAAAAAAAGAAAAAAAAAGGAATGCTTGGTGTAGAGTAAGCAGGCACAGCACAGGAATGTCGTGGAAGACGCGTGAGTGCCCCTGCTCTCCTCTGATGGGCTGGTTCTGTTCCATAGGGTTTCATGAGGGGGCTCTTACGTACATGTGCATCTGCAGAAGGCAAAGTTGAAGGTATGGAGCCTCTTCAGGAGGCTGCTTGGTCTCCAAGGGACACGTCCTATGGGGGGTTTATGGGTACTGAACAGGAGTGTGGCAAGTTACCAGTAGCTACACTAGTGAGGAACAGCACAGGCAGTGAACGACTTTCCTACTAGTACTCACCGAGGGGTGGGACCCTGTGAGGCATCACTCCCCCTAAACCCCATCCCTGCTTATAAATCCACAAGAAGGGGGCAGGGCTTCCTAAGCCTGTCCCTCAAGGACCTGCATTTATTTAGTTTTTAAAGATCAAATAGAAACGATGTATTATGTATGTGGCTTTGTACATGTGAGTGCAGAGCTCACAGTGGCCACAAGCAAACACTGGAGCTTGAGTTACAGGTGTTTATGAACAGCCTGGTGTGGGCACTAGGAACAGAACTCTGGTCCTCTGAAAGGGCAGTATTCAGTTTTAACTGCTGAGCCATCTCTCTAGGCCCTAGAGGACATAATCTAAGTTCAAGAGGGAGAGAGCCCCACCTCCCTAAAACCCAGGATCAGAAAACAAGACAGTAGTGACTGAATGAGGTTTATTGGAGTCCCAGAGACATTGGGGAGAGGGGTCAGGAGGTCAGGTTGAGGCTCACGGGGGAGAAATCCCTGGCCAAGTTCCCCTATCCCCTTGGGACGTTGCAACAGAGTCAAGTTGTAGTGCTAGAAAGACAAAGTACTACAGTTCAAGGGGAGGGAAAGCTCAGTGCCTACCGCCTCCACCAGGTCACAGGATTGGGAAAATCGTTGTCAAAGGACTGCGCTCTACAGCATACGGGAATGGCTGCCCTGTTAGTCTAAGGAGAGTGGGGTTAGGCCACAACCATTCCAGACAGCAGTCCATTCCAAGCAGGTAGGATTATGTGCATCTAGGTTAGTCCAACCTAAAGGGCGGGGAGACTTTGGGCCAGTCTAATCTAGTGTTCAGGATGGGGGTTAGATCAGTAGGGTCAGACCATTCTGCAGTAAGGGAGACCTAATCTGAGAGTGGGTTAACTGAAGGGGGGGGGTCATCTACCCTGGTCCTCTTTCAGTATAGGAAGCAAAATTGGGGGAAGGCAAATTTCGGTTATACTCATTTTCTGAGGCCACCAGTGGCTGACAGGTGTCATCTGGAGGGGGTCCTGGAGGAGTCCAAGATGTTGCCCCACCCCCATTCCCTAGAGGAAGGTCATCTGGTATGATGGCTCACAGGGAGTAGGTGGTTAAAATATGGGGAAGCCTACATGTTATCTGCTGAGAGATGTTAGTGGAGACCCGTTTTTCATTACTATGTCCCCAGTCTCGAAAGCCAGTTGATTTGAACATGCCACATTCCAGGGGTCTCAAAGTGAAGAGTCTCTGTAGATTTCAGAAATTCCCCAACAATTATGTTTTTGGACCCCTTTGCTGAAGGATGCTTTACTGTGGTCCTGTGTGGGTTCTGGGTGGCACCATTTTTCCAGACGGGGGCCTGGCTCATCTTATGGTCTGGCTCTGGACTTAGTGGGCAGGGGTATCCTGGTTATTCAGTCCATGCCCCTGTGTAGCTTCAGGTGCCTGGAGAGGTTGCTAAGCGTGATGAAGCCCTTGCCGCAGATGTGGCAGGGGAAGGGCCGCTCGGTGCCATGCAGCAGCCGGTGACGCTTGAGGTAGCATTCGTGGCGGAAGAACTTGCCACACTCCAGGCACGGGAATGGCTTTTCCCCAGTATGAACCAGCACATGCCTTTCCAGGTCTCGAGGCGAACGGAACAGCTTCTCGCATTCGGAACAGCCAAAGATTTTCTTGCCACGGCTGGAGGGGCCGGGTCCCGACCCACCAGCTGCCTGCTCGCCTTCACCATCGGGGGCCGCCTCCCCGCTACCCTCACCATGGCTTGCACGCCGATGCTCCTCCAGGGCGGCCAGAGCCGCGTACAGCGCCCCGCAGTGGCCACAGCCATATGTGGCTGGGCCTGAGTGCGCCTCTAGATGGCTGGCCAAAGCTGGGGCAGATGCGAAGAAGGTCCCGCAGTCGCACTGGTACAGTGTGTCTTCCGAGGATGCTTCGCCCGCTGCAGCCGGAGCCCGGGCATTCCCAGTGCCCTCGTCCCCGGGGAGCAGTGCCTCCAGCTTGGGCACGCCTGCCCCGGTAGGGCTCAGGAGCAGCCCGGCGTCCCAAGTCGGCGGGGCGGCCCCCACCTCCAAGGCGTCACCCTCTCCTGCCACCTCCGGACCCCCACCCGAGGCCCAAACCTGCGTTGGAGGCGCAGTGCTCCCCTGCAGGTCGTGAGTGAGCTTGTGGCGTTCCAGCAGGGCAGGTGCATTGAAGTCACGCTCACAGCGCGGGCACTTGAATGGTTTCACATCGGTGTGCGCGGCCCAGTGGGCTGCCAGCTCCCGGCCATGGTCAAAACGCCGGGCACAGGCACCACATGCAAATGGGGGCAGCGAGGCTGCCGCGGCTGCTGCAGCCTCTGCCAGTCCCCAGCTGGTCGCTCCTGCTCCCTCTAGGCCCTCTCCTCCACTGGACCCTCCACCTCCACAAACCGAGCAGGGACCCACGTTGCAACATACTGAGCAGGGGGAGCTCAGAGGAGGCAGGCCCGGGCTAGGCTGCAGGGGAGAGGGAAGTGTGCCCCGGTGCTGCCGCTTGAGATGGCGGCCCAGGCTGGAGCGAGAGGAGAAGCGGAGCTCGCAGACCAAACAGCAGTAGGGCTTCTCACCAGTGTGGACGACCTGAGAATGAGAGCACAGAGGAAGGGCTGAAGATCTGGGCCCTGCAACAGATCCCCAGGAGAACGAAGCTCTAGAATCCCCCGCCTGGCTCTCCTCTGTAACTAAACAGGCATCAGTAGCTGTGGGGGCCGTTGAGAAGGAACCCTACCTCCACGTGAAAGCAAGTTTTCCAAGTGCCTCTCATGAAAAGTTAAAATACCAAAAAGTAGTAGGGTTTTATCAAGGCCCATTAAAAGAAAGCTACCTCCTCCTGGCCAAAAGAATTGAATCTGGGTTAGCAATATGGCTCGGCAGGCAGAGGTACTTGTAGTCAAGCCTGGTGACTCGAGTTTGATCCCGGGATCCATATGGTGGAAGGAGAGAACTAGTTCTGTAAGCTGAGCTGTGGCATATCTTACTCTGCGGAGCTGGACTAGTACAAGCCTTCAATCCCAGCACTCAAGAGACGGGAGGCAGTGGCAGGCCAAGCCCTGTCACAAAACAATCAATGACCCAAACAAGAACAAAAAATGGAATAAAAGTATTTTAAAGGAAGAACAGAGGACCAAGGTTCTATCCCCAGCACCCACACGGCAGCTAACAGCAGCCAGTAGCTTCAGTTCCAGGGAGTCCAGTGCTCTCCTTCTACCCAATGGAGTACCAGGAGTGAAATGTAGTGCAGACATACAGGCCAGAAAAGCACCATATACATAATAGATAAGTAAATAAATATTTTTAAAAGATTTATTTATTTATTTTATGTATATGAACACACTATAGCTGTCTTCAGACACACCAGAAGAGGTCATCACATCTCATTACCGATGGTTGTGAGCCACCGTGTGGGTGCTGGGAATTGAACTCAGGACCTCTGGAAGAACAGTCACTACTCTTAACCACTGATCCGTCTCTCCAGCCCAAGTAAATACATCTTAAAAGATCTGAATTCTATTTTGTGCTCTGGGTGGAGACACAACATTCTAAGCTGCCTCAAACACAGCATACTGTTGTCATCTCCCTAAAACTTAATCCAAACTGGGTGGTGGTGGTTCACCTTTAATCCCAGCACTCAGAAGGCAGGGGCAGGTGAATCTCCAAGTTTGAGGCCATCCTGGTCTACAGAACTAGCTCCACGACAGCCAGGGCTGGCACAGAAACCAGTCTCAAAACAAAAGAAAACCAACAACAAAAGAGTTACTGCAATTGGGCCTGTCAATGACCTGGCCAGGAGACAGTGAGGGAGATGAGAGAAACGGTTATCTCATTCATGTGGTGATAACCTGCTCTCCTCAGGAGTCCTCCCCTGATGCAGTCGCTTACAGCTCTTTCCTGAGTCTGCAAGCAATTTTGAGTTCTTAGCTCAAAGGGCCTAACGAGTCCCTCTCTACTAGCTTCCGTTTTTCCTTTTTTTCTTCTGAGACTGTGTTTCTCTGTATAACCGTGACTATCCTGGAACTCACTGTAAACTAGGCTGGCCTTCAAGTCAGAGATCAGTCTGTCTCTGCCTCCCAAGTGCTGGGATTAAAGGTGAGCACCATCACCCGAATATTTTTGTCTTTTGGAGACAAGGTTTCTCTGTGTAGCCCTGGCTGTCCTGGAACTCACTCTGTAGACCAGGCTGGCCTTCAACACAGAGATCCACAGCCCCCTCCCTCGAGTGTTGAGATTAAAGGCATGTGCTACCACTGCAGGCTTCTTTTCTACTTTCTGTCTCTTCTTAGGATACCAGCCCAAGCCGTCAGCATGCTTGCCCCCACATGCTCAACTTTCTGTGTCTCTGAAGAGACACCTCCCATGTAGCTGCCTGCAGAACCTTGCCAACAAGCATGCCTTCTTTCTTGGACTAACTTAAAAGGATGGTCTTTCTCTCCTCCTCTTACTGGTTCCCCAACCCCCAACCCCACCTTGTAGCTGCCAAGACCTATAGCTGGCCTTTTTAGAGTTTTTCTTTCAAATTCTAATAAGATGGCTCTCAAGTTTCTAAGTCTGCTTTATATTTTTCTTGTCCAGGAGTCTAGGAATCTACAAAAGGGGACTCCATCTCCCCAGTCACAGCCCTGCTACGGGCCAGCTGGCATGTTCTCTGTGCTGACCTTATCTAGGAATTGATTCCCACAGAACATAGCTACAGCCAGGGCTCTAGGCATCCACAGGCTTGAGTTCAAATCCCATCTCTCTTCTCCATAAACACTCCTGCCTTTTCCCTTTGTAAAATGGACCACTTCACAGTACCTGCACGATGCTCCAACCAGGTGGTTCCCTAGCAGCATATGTGAAGATACAGCTTGTTTTTGTTTCCTATACATTAATTTCTGTTTTGTTGTCTGGGACAGGGTCATATGGCCCAAGCTGGCTTCAAACTTTGTGTAGCTGAGGATGACGTCTGAACTCCTGATCCTCCTGCCTCTACCTCACAAGCGCTGGGACTATAAGAACGTATCACCATGCCCTGATTTTTTTTTTTTAAATTTGCTTCCTAACTTCTCCTTTACAGAACTCTTTTCTCATAAATTGCTTTCTTTAACCTCTACCTGGTGCCTGATCATTTGAAGGAATGTAAGTTTTCTGAAGGCCTGTGTTCCATGTAGGGGAAATTGACTACAGAATAAAGGAGTTGGGTGTACATAAACCCATTTTCAAGATGGTAAGGAAGAGAATTATAAACACAAGGCTGCAGAGGCTTCAGCAGGAGAAGTAGAGAGATATGTGGAACAAGCTTACTAGCCAGGGACATCTCCAGCTGCCTTTCCCTGCGTGGAAGAGAGTCCCAGTGTCTCGGGCGTGCGTGCGTGATTCCCCCGACTCACCTGGTGGTGCAGCAGGCCAGTGGAGTCTCGGAATCCCTTAGGGCAGGCGGAGCATCGATAGGGCCGTTCACCAGTGTGTGAGCGCAGGTGGTTAGCCAAGTTGAAGCTATGCTTGAAACCCTTGCCGCATCGAGGACATGCGTGGGGCTTGAGGGCGGTGTGTCGAGCAAAGTGGCGCCTCAGGTCTGATCGGTAACGGAAGCTCTTGCCACATTCGCTGCAGTGAAAAGGGACCCGAGGCGCAGTGGCAGACGGTGCTGGCCCTGGGGCAGCAATCGGGGCAGGAACCACAGGCATCGAGGGGTCATCCATGGTGGGAGGTCCGGTGGTGGCTTGGGGCTTTCTCTGGAGCACAGAAGAGACACAGGTAAGTCACCTCTCCACTGGCCATCCCTTCCCTTGGCACTCTTGGCTCTGAAGCAGTTCGGGAGACACTCCCAGCGCTAAGCCACGCCCACCACCAAGCTGAAACCACTACCCATTAAATTTTCCCACTCTTTACAAATCCTCCTCGTTCTTGAACCTTCCTAGCCACACCTGCATCACTTTTTCTTCAAGAGGTGTTCTGAGGGCTCTCCCTCAATCGTCTCCAGGCCCTGCTCACTACAAATTAAGGTCCTCCTACTCTTGCTTAGGTGTGGGCTGCCTCTTTTTGAGCCCCTCCCTCTCTTCCCTAAGCATTCAGTATTTCTCCACAGACCTCTTGCTTCTAACTCTTTTTTGGAGACAAGTTAGCGAAACAAGGATTTGGGGCTGAGCACATGCGTCTAAGGATCCTAAGGAGTCCACACTAGTTGTATAGTTTCAGAAACAAAAACTTTTTTACGCATGAAATAGGTATACCAGTGCTTACCTCAAACAGTGATGGTTTGCGCTAAGTAAAATCGTAGCAAGGTGTACAACGCACTTAAGAAAGCCGAGGCACAGAAAAGACTTAACTGAGTAGTCTGACCAAGTTCCTCTTAGTTCCTTTATTCCCATGTGCTTCTAAGTTAATTTGACTTTTTCTAAGTTAGATCTTCACTGAGACTTGCATACAACTTTTCCTTCAAATAAGTCACATTTTTCTATAATCACCTCTACTTCCCTATTATTTTCGTAGCTTGCCGCCAAGCCCCCTCTAAACATTTTCACCTTCATGATAGAAACCTGATAGTTCCACTAAAACTCTCCAAATTGCACACCTACATCGGCGCCCCTTGTCATGGTAAGCTTTTCTCTAAGCCAAACCTTGGGCAAGCTTCACACAACATACTCTGAGCCTCTCTTGTCTTACTGGACCCCATTTTTCCACTAACCTTACGAAGTTTCTTCAATTTTTCAACCAAGGCCCTTTCCCCCACTGCATGTGATTCACGCCTCTTTACCAGGCCCCACTTTGTATAAACCTCTCCCATTTTCTAAGCAGTCGCTACCCTTTCTTGAAATCCCTCCCCTCAGACTATAAGCCACGCCTCAACAAGATCCTCCTCCAGCCCTGCCCCGCCCCAGCCACCATAAGCTCCGCCCCCTCCTGCACCCCAAGGTGTGTGGTGCGCGAGGGGGGGTACCCCCACCCTGCTCGATCTTTCGAACAAGGCCTGGGAAACTGGCCCTTTGTACCCCTTTCCCTGTCCCTAGAAGGTGCAGTCTCGGGCGCCTGGGTGGCGACCAGGTCAGGCGGCCCCAAGACTAGGCAAGACCACCTTGCTTTCGCGTTGAGGAGGTCCTGGAGACCAGGCAGGACCCCGGGAGGCCGGAAAAGTCTGTCCGCTTTCCAGTTTAATTACTTACACCTCCCTCTGGGCGCCGACATTTTGGGCAGCGGGGTCAGCGTCACTTCCACCTGAGGGGCCCCTCGACTTCCGCCTCGGCTCTCTTCTCCCCCAACTACTCCTCCTCCTCCCCCGCGACCCGACAATCCCCCTTTCCCCCCTCCTTCTTGGCTCTTCTATCCCGCCCCCTCCCCGCCCTTCTGTTTTTCTTTTCCTATTCCCAGCCACGGGAGGTTAAAGAAGCTAGACTAGCGCCATCTTTGTTGAGGGCAGGAGAGGGGCGGGACCTAAGTTACCTGCAGCGCCATATAGATTAAGGGTAATCCATTTAGCGCGCAGCATTTCGTAGTCCCCGGTGCGGTTACGAAGAGTTAGCATAGATGTGTTCAGATAGGATTCCTTTTCTCTAGTCTTTGACTTCTGCTGGGTCGGATGCCGGAAGAAGGAGAAAAATCCAAGTGGTCAAACTTGTTCAGAGTTAGGACTCACCAAGCACCATTTTATTACTTTTATTCCATGGCGCTTTGAAGCTGTTGGGCGCCATGTTAATTAGTGGCACTTAGCAGCCATTTCCCGCTTCTCCTCTATCCGGTACCTGTATTTGATTGGGTCACCGGGTTGGGAATGCTTTGCGGGAGGAAAGGCATTTCGAGGTGGTTGGGGATTTTTGTGCGTTGTCACTGGGCAAACGAAGGCGACTGGTACGCAGGCGCGTTTGTTGGCAGGCGTGTCCGGGCCTTGGGTCCCAGGGCATCCTCTTTGTTCCCCGCGGGCGCTGGCGGCTGGGGAGGGAGGGCGGGGCCACCGGCGTCCGTACCGAGGGGCGGGGCCCAGCTCGAGCTCCGCCACCCCCCCCGCCCCGCCGCCGCCTAGGGGCTGGGCCCCTGTCCCCCGCCCCTTCCCACGCTTCGGCCCGTCGCCCCCGGCGCGCGCGCGCGTACACACGCGAGCCCAGGCAGCATGCAAATGAGGTACCCAGGGGCGGGGGGCCCGGGTCGGGGGGAAGGGGAAAAGGGGGTGGTCCCGTGCGCGCGCCCGAGCGCGCACCGGGCACCTGTTCCCTGATTCTTTGCTGCCTCCTGCACACTCCGACCTCGCGCCTCGCCGAGCGGTCCGGGCTCGCGCGCGCAGACCCCCTCCTGGCAGCCCCTGCCGCCAATGTCCCCGCGCCGCTCATTGGCCACCGCACCCTGAGTGCCCGCCCCGCTTGCGGGCTGAGCCACTCCCGCCTGACAAGCACGCGTCGAGCCGGACTCTGGGGGTTCTTGGTGGGTGGGGGAGGGTCGGAGAACCACTCTCACTTTATAGGTATGTTCCAGAAACTCAGCTTCTTGTCCAGGCTACCCCATGGTGCGAACCATATGATATTGGAAAAGTTGCTCCTGTGTGGACCTCATGCTGTGTGCATATTAAAAGGGGGTGCAAGTTTTGGGGGTGTAGCTCAGGCCTAGTTTGTGTGAGGCCCTGAGTTGGATAGCTAGCATCACACACAAAACCTAAAACCAACCAAACAACAATTTAAAGAGGGGTGCAGAGTCTCCCCACAGTATCTGCTGCTAGCTGCACCTGTAGTGGCCTTCCACCCCAAGTACACTCAGTTCCTACCATCCTGGGATCTTGTGAGCACTGGGAAAAATCCTGGATTTTTGGATGCTTTCTGTATTCTAGGTTGTGCACTAAGAACATTTTTGAAGCTTCCTTATTCCTGTCAATTCTCCCCACAAACTTGGTATATTGAATTTACAGAGAAGGAAACAGACTCAGAGGCAAAGCCACTTGTAGAACCACATGCTAATTATTGGCCGGACTGGATCCGAACCCAGGACTTGGAGACCTCAGGATATTCACCGTACACACATGTGTACACACACACAGACACACACACACCCTTGTCTCCCTAGGTCCTTCTCATTTCCTGGCCACTGATGTCAGTAAGGCTGCTTTGTGTTTTGTCACTTACTGGCAGAGAGAACTTAAGGAACTCACTTGCCTTTCCTGTGCCTTGGTTTCTCAGTTTGCAACACTGAAAATGTGTTCCCTCAGAGGGTTGGTGTGAGGCTTAACCACCAATGCTGCTATGCCGGCTCTTTTATGTATTATGTTCACAGCATGTCTGGGTTAGTAGGTAAAACAAATCAAAACCAACAAACAACAAAAATCCCTGAGTTCCATCTTACAAGATATACAAATGAGCTCAGAGAAGTAAGGATCTTAGCTAAGACCACACAAAGCAAGGGACAGAGTCAGCATTTGATTTCTGGTATATGACTTCACAGCCCAGACTCTTAGCAACTTACATAGATTATCCTTCACAGATCAATGGATTTTGGCTAGGACCTCTCTCTCTCCATGCCTGCTGCCATCTCTGTGGGGAGCAGGAGCCTTTTGAGACCTTTGTGGCCCAGAATTTGATATTTGATGGGCTGTTTAAAGGCTCACATCCTCAGCTGGATCTTTTTTTTTTTTTCTTTCAGTTATTTATTTTGGCTTGTTTGACTTTAAAGGCTTTTGTAGCTACTGTTCTGTTGCTGTGATGAAAAACTATGATCACGGCAACTTACAAAGAAAGCATTTTAAAAGGAGGCTTGTTGCCCGGGCAGTGGTGGCGCACGCCTTTAATCCCAGCACTTGGGAGGCAGGCAGAGGCAGGCGGATTTCTGAGTTCGAGGCCAGCCTGGTCTACAGAGCGAGTTCCAGGACAACCCGGGCTATACAGAGAAACCCTGTCTTGGGAAAAAAAAAAAAAAAAAGGAGGCTTGCTTACATTTTTCAGAGGGTTAGACCATGATCATCTTGACTGGGAGTATGATGAGCAGCAGGCTGACATGGTACTGGAACAGTAGCTAAGAGCTCACATCTAATTCATAAGTTTGAGGGAGAGGGAGACTGGCTTGGTGTAGGATTTTGAAACCTCAAAGCTCACTCCTACTGAAACACCTACTCCATTAAAGCCACACCCACCACATCAAGGCCACACCTCCTAATCCTTCCCAAACAGTTCCACTAATGGATCCAGACATTCAAACATAGAACCCTATTGGGGGAGGGGGCATTCTTATTCAAACCACCATGAAAGAAAGCCTAGATCCAAACACAAAGGAAGGGTTAGAAAGTCATGGGATACCCTTTGGTGGAGAACAATCAGTATGTCTTATCAATTTATACAGACTTGTCTTGTTATATGGGTCTCAAAAGATTAGAAGGGATAGGTGAGCTACTGGGGTATACGGGGACTTAAACCCTCACCACACTGACACCGCCCCCTCTCTTCTCTTAGCCGGCTCCAGTACCCAGACTCAAGCTCCCCACTGCCCAATGGACAACCCCAGCTCAGACCCGTTGCCTTCAACTTTGTCTGGGGAGGAAGAAAAACCTCTGGCTTTACTTCCTCCTGTTCCCCGGGGCCGCCGAGGCCGACCTCCAGGGGGAGCCTCCACCTCCAATCGGACTCTCAAGTCCTCCCTCCCTCGAAAGCGGGGCCGTCCCCCCAGATCAGTGCAGGAAACCCCGTTGACAGCACCAGTGGACAGCGGTGGCAGCAGCGATCTTCTGTTGATCGATGATCAGGGTGTTCCTTATACAGTTCCCGAAGGGTCAGCAACAGATGGGCCCCAGGGCTCTGGTTCCAAGAGGGCCCCGCACTTCTGTCCTGTGTGCCTGAGAGCTTTCCCCTACCTCTCTGACCTGGAGCGCCACAGCATCTCGCACTCAGAATTGAAGCCACATGTGTGCAAAGATTGCGGCAAGACCTTCAAACGGTCCAGCCACCTGCGGCGCCATTGCAACATCCATGCTGGCCTTCGGCCCTTCCGTTGTGTGCTCTGCCCTCGCCGCTTCCGAGAGGCAGGGGAGCTCGCTCACCACCACCGCATCCACTCTGGTGAGCGACCATACCAATGTCCCTCATGCAGGGTGCGCTTCACCGAGGCCAATACTCTCCGTCGCCATTACAAACGAAAACACCCAGAGCTTGTGGGGATGCCTGTGCGCCTGTGCCCCCCAAACCCAAGACCCCAACCGCTGTGGGACGACGACGATGAGGGTGTCCCTGTTCAAGAAGGGATACAGGAGGAGAGTCCTGAAGGAAAGGAGCCTGCTTGGCCCATATCCTCTACCACTTCTCCCCTGTCTGGGTTTACAGCAGGGGGTTCAGCTGGTGCCGGGCATGGGCAGGAAGGGCAAGGCAACCTTGTTTCTGGTGGTATTCCTGCCTTGGAAGGGGATCAAAAGCAGGGACCTAAACCTCTGGGTCCAGATGCCATCTAGCACCCTCCTGTGGACTGACAAGCTCTGGGAGGCATGGGCTGTGGAAATAAATCCCTGCCTACTGACTTCCAGTGTGTGTTCAGTCACGGTGCCTGTCCCTTTCAGTGTTCCTCCATTACCTTGCCTGACAAGGTATGTGTGCGTGATTGGAGAGAACCCCATCTCACATACCTCCTTAGCGGGGTGCCAAAGAACCGATGGCTTGGAACAAGCCTTGGCCCGATCTAACCTCCATCAGACAAGTACTGTAAAACATGCTATGCAAATGTGACTCAAGGCTCCTCCAGCCTCGTGAAATTCCTCCAAATTCTACACAGACACGCTTTGCTCCAATTTCTTTTCCAGAGGCCTTCCTATTTGGAAGGAAAAACTAAGTTGAGGGCTTGATGTATAGTTCAATGGTAACATACCTTGAATCCCCGAAGGCCTGGGGCTGAGTGGCCAGCTCGAGGCTGTGGGTTGAGGAGAGTGAACAGCACTGACCATCTCGATAGCATTTAGAGAGAAGGGTGTGAGCTTGAGGGGAAGGCAGGGCTGAGATGAGATTCAGACTTTGGGCAGTAAAAACTTAGGTTGGAGCTGCCCAACCTAAGAGGAGGCTGAAAACTGGGCTGAGGATCAAAGAGGCTTAGATTTGGCTGGCAGAAAACAATTTAGAGGGAATGAATGGTATTTAACTGAAGGGCGGGGCTTATAGGAAGTACTTTTAAAATGAAGCCGGGCTCAAGGTTATGGTTGTTAAAAGATCTTTTACTAGAGGCTTACAAAGAAAGTAAGGCACCCCTGTGAGCATTCATAGGAACACCTCAAAAAACAGTTACCTAGAAGTACTTTCCCAAGCACAATATTAAGGCTTAACTGTGAGACATGATTGCCATTCAGGCCACGGAGAGGGAAGAAAAAGGTACCAAAAAGAGCCCTTGGCTGTATAAAATTAGGCTTAGCTGTCTAGACTAGTGGGGCTGAGCTAAGAAAGGTGTATAGAGCTATGAGCGGCTAAGTGTGAAGTGTGCCAAAGTGTGGCTCTCCTTTAAGAGTGCATCCAAAGTGTTTCAGTTCGGACGGATCCCTAAGATCCAGCCCAAAGCTTTCTATTTAGTAAGGCTGGGTTAAGGGTTAAAGAGCATCGGCCTAATTGAAGTCAGTGGTTGGTAACAATTAACTTGAAAGGAATGCTTTCAAGGTGCATGGCAGAACTACATTTAAAGAGTCATCCCTTATAATCTCAGAATTCCTGAAGGCTCTGATAGGAGTATTGCTGCAAGTTTGAAACCATTTGGTCTACACAGGAGTTCAAGGCCACCCTGACCCACAGTGTGAGGTCGTGTCTCAAAAGAAGAAATCAAAAAGTTAAAAAAAAAAATGTCCCTTAAGTGCAACGGGCGGTACGAAGCTTTTTGTGTAAGGGGCAGAATTTAGAAGGGGGCGTGGTTTGTAGGTGTGGCCCGGCTGAGAGGGTGGAGTTCCAAAAGTAGGAATTTGGAGCAAAGGAAGAATAGAAGAAACTAATTGGAAGTTGCAGCAAAAGAAATACGACCGGCCTACACAGGAGGCTCGAGATGGGCGTGGCTCCAGTCTAGGGGGCGAGGCTTAGCGTGAGACCCGAGTTTAGGGTGTGTCCTAGCCGGAAGCCTGTGGGTGGTGCCCTAAGAAGAAGCGGGTGCAGTGGGCGCATGCGCACTAGGCTCCGTTTGCCCACCGGAAGCAGCCTTGACTGTCCCCCTCCCGTGTCTAGTGCCGGCGTAATTTCCCTTCTCCGTTCCCCCGCCACCATCCTCCACGCCGGCGCTTCGGGGGAACGGGCGCGACTTCCGCTTCCGGGCTGGAGGTGCGGGGCTGGTGGGGAGTTGGGGGGGAAGGGGCGGCACTTCCGGTTGGGCCCTCGGGTCTCCCCGGAGCGGCGGCACCTCCTCCGCCTCCTCAGCCTCCTCCCGGCGGAGACCCCAGCGCCGGTGAGTGACTGGGTGTGCGGCCCGGGGACCCGGGTTCCTCGGGGGCGGGGGGCCTCGCCCTGCCCTGCCGCAGTCCCCAGGACGCAACCCCCCCAGAATGTCAGTGCTTCACTGCCGGGCCCGAGGCAGGGGATCCCCAACCACTAGTCCCCTACAAGATCACTCCAGATATCTTACCCGTGAAAGCCCCCTGACACCGTGGGATGGCTACCAACTCGTTTTCATTAGTAATGAACCTCTCAAGTGCCAGGGCCCCCCACGAATCCTTTCCCTGCCGCCTCATCAGCTTCCTCCACGAGATCCTCCCCATGCCACCAGCTTTGCTATGCTTACAGGGTAGCCGCTCCTGAGCCCTCTGTTCTATCTCCTGTAGGATTGGTTCCAGGGGGTGTAGTAGCAGTACTTCCTGACAAGAGTTGCCCCTACTATGTCTGACCACACACAGCCCACTTCCCAATGCCTTCTTTGTGGGTGCAAAAATATTTTCTATTCTGGCCCATGCTAAAAGTGCTTTTTAAGAACCCCTTCCTGCAACTCCCCCCAAAAGACTTCTTCAAATTCACCCCTAGAGGGACAGCTCCCTCCAGAGTTCCTTAATACCAGGTCCTTTCCCTGTTGATGGATGCCTGGTTAGCATCAGGTTCTCCTGAAACACTCCCCCCACGTCTCTCCTTCCCCTCATCCTGGCCTCTGCAATCCCAGGACGATGCAAGTTAGCAGAGAATGTTCCTCCATGGAGCATCAACAGGTCCTGAGCCCATCTTTGGCCAAGTCTCTTGACATCGTCCCAAACTTCCTAGGAAAGACCCTGGCTCTGCTTCCATCTTTTCCCATAGGTTTTATTCTTTGCTGAATGAACACCACCATTCTATGCCCAAGCCATGCAGTTTCAAAGGGGAGAGATACAACGAGTCCCCATTTTACAGGGGGTTGCAGCCTAGTTGAGAGGCAGATCAGAAACAGTGCTGCTCTGTGGGCTTTCTGAGAGTCTGGTGAGCTAAGGTGAATGCTGAAACACAAGATTTAATCTTGCTATTCAAAGATCGGGGGAACAGCTAGCCCGTGCAGAGATCCAGGGGTTACAGGGATGTGGTGTGGGAGTAGCAGTGAGTTTGGAGCAGAATTGAAGGCTTGACCCAGAAGAACCTTGGAATAAGTTGCCTGGCTTTTTGTCAGCTCTACCAAACTCATAAGATTCTTCTTGTATCCACCTGTTCCTTGTTCACTCATAAACACACCTGTTTAATGAGCATCTACTTCATACAGAGAATAAAATGGGAAAAAAATCACATAGAATGGCTATGTTGAAGAGGCAGACATTAGAATTCAAGTTACGTTGGGGTGGGGGACATAGTTCAGTCAATAAAAGTGTTGTCCTGAATTCAGATTCCCAGCACTTACATTTAAAAAAAAAAAAACCAAAAAACAAAAAACCTGGGCATGGTGGCACATGCCTGTAATCCCAGCACTGGGGAGACAGAGACAGGAGGATTCCTGGAGCTTCCTGTCTAGCTCCAAATTCATTGAAAGGCTATCTTCAAAGAAAGGAAAGAAGGACAGAGTTGAGGTCACATGACACTGGCCTCTGGCTTCCACACTCACATGCAATCATATACCACAGACAGAACCAAAATACATATGAGGACAGAGTTATAGGGGCTGGGCTATCACAAACAGCACGTGTGGGCTGTCTCATGTCATCTTGTTCCTCAGGTAAAGCACAGAGCAGAAAGTGTGGTCCTAGACTGCTGTGGCCCACCATGGCGGCTGCTCTGACTGCTTCCTCGCCTTGCAGGTGGAGTGAGGAAGAACATGAGCTGTGGACTTGACTAGACTTGGGCCTTTTCTCGCCCGTCTGCCCAGCCTCATCCCTTCACTGACTGAGGACTGTTTACCACGCTGCCCGTGAGAAGGGTGGGCAGGTAAACACTCTGTGAGACGGGTGGCCACGTAAACACTTGCCTCCAAGCCTGAGACCGGAGTTTACTCTCCAAACCCATCTGCCGGGAGGATAGGACTAACTCCTGTAAGGTGTCCTCTCACCTCTGTCTGTGCACACACAATAAATAAATGCAATTTTTATTTTTGGGGGAAAAAGTGATTATGATTAGTAGGCTAGGTACTGTCCTGGGTCCTGAGGACAGTTCAGAACAAAGCATGAAACGCTTGTTCCTGGAGCTGTGGAGATGGCTTAGTGGTTAAAAGCATTTGCTATGAAAGCCGGGGAATCAGAGTTCAGATTCCCAGAACCCATCTGAATGCCAGCCAGTTAGGAGGTCCACCTGTCATTCCAGTCTCTGAGGGCAGAAATAGGATCCCCAGAACAATCTGGCTAATGAGACTAGCCACATCGGTGAGCTCTGAGTTTGATTGAGAGACCCTGGTCAGTGAATACGGTGGAAGAGAGAGGGAGGATCATTGCTAGTGTCAACCTTGAGTGCATGCATGTATGAGTGTGCATGTGAGAAGGGGAAAAAATACTGTGTCATTCGAGAGGGAGGGCAGTAAAAACATGAGCAGGAAGGCAGAATATACGGTACGTTCGAGATGACAGGGATCTAGTGTGAAACTAGGGAGTATAGGTCTGGGTGATAGGTGGCAGTGGTTGTTCAGAGTACCATGAGAAGACAGCAGTCAAACAGAGACAGGAAGGAGATGAGGGGAGGAGAGGATGGGGGTGTTAATTTTGCCAGCAAAAGCTACAGTCCCAAAACACAGCCTGTGGAACAGAAACAGAGCCAGCACATTGGAGGAACAGCTGCAAGCTTGTGGGGGCCTGTGTAGGTCACTGGAAGGACTTTGGGTTTCACTAAGTGGGATGGGATCACTAGGCTTTCAGCAGGAGCATCATGGTTTGGTATACTTAAGCAGGATAGCTACGTTTCTGACAGTGTTGAGAATTTTGAATGGGACACACTATATAAAGCACCAAGCACTGTACTCTTTAAAATTCAGTGAATGCCAGTGGCTGGTGCTGGACTTGGGCCAAGCTGAGAGATGTGAATAGGAAGCAGGGAGAGGATGAGACAGGTCTTGTCTCCAGCACACAGTGCTTTGAGGGCCCTGCTCCTGTTTTGGAAAGTGAAATACTGAAAGGCAACAGATCACAGGGAAAAAGTGTGAAGTCTGGAATCCTACCATTTGCCTTAAACTCCATTTAGCTCAGTGACCTCCAGTCTCCAATGTTTTTTTGTTTTTTGTTGTTATTTATTTTGAAGCAGGTTTCCCTGTATGTCCCTAGCTGTCCTGGAACTTGCTCTTTTAGGCCAGGCTGGCCTTGAATTCACAGAGATCTGTCTGTTTCTGCCTCCTAAGTGAAGAGATTAAAGGCATGTGCCGCCTCTGCCTGGCTGAAGTCAGCGTTTCTGAGTCAGTAATTCTACCCATCCTTTCCCGGTTGTTGGGAGGAGGATTTAGAAGAGTCAAAAAATAAATATGACCTGTTAAAACTCTTTTTGTTCCCTATGCATGGCATGTGCATATGTACACACTTGTGGAGGGGCCAGAGGTTGACCGGGAGTGTCTTCACTGATTGCTCTCCACTTTATTGAAGCAAGGGCTCTCATTGAATCTGCAGCACACAGGTTTGGCTAGTGTAGCCAGCCAGCTGGCCCTGGGAAGGCTCCACCTTTGTCTTCTTAAGCATTGGATTGCAGAGAGCGGCTGTGCCCACCTAACTCTAACATGGGGTCTAGGGAATCCAAACTCTGGTCCACCAGCTTGTATGGCAAATGCTCTGTCCACTGGACCTTTTCCTCAGCCCTGTTAAAACTTGCTGTGTTTATGTGGAACTCTAGTTTGGTGTGAAATGTCGTATAATGCAGTCTCCTCCATTATAATTTCAAAACCATTCCCTGACACATGCCACATCAGAAAACAGGCATTTGGAGCTGGAGAGAGATTAGTCTGAAATTAGGAGCACTTGTGGCTCTTGCAGAGGACCTAGCATCCATCCATACGATAGCTCACAACCACCTGTAACTCAAATTCTGGGGATCTGATGCCCTCTTCTGGCTTCTCCACAGGTTTGCAGGCAGTGCGCAGACAGGCATGCGGGGAGAATACACACAAAATAAATAGTTTTCAAAGGAACAATTTAAGACTTGGGTACAGGACTATCAAGATGGCTCAGTAGGTAAAGTGCTTGTGACCCGAGTTCAATCCCTGGAACCCAATTAAAGGTAGAAGGAGAGAACCAACTCCAGAATTGTCCACTGACCTCACATGCAGCCTTACACACATCACATCCATAGTAAATAATGTTTTATAAGACTTCTGTCAGGCTGGAGAGATGGCTCAGCAGTTAAGAGAACTGACTGCTCTTCCAGAGGTCCTGAGTTCATTTCCCAGCAACCACATGGTGGCTCACAACCATCTGTAATGGGACCCAGTGCCCTCATCAGGTGTGTCTGAAGACAGCTACAGTGTACTCATATACATAAAATACATACATAAATCTTTAAAAAAAAAAAAATGAGTCGACTGAAAGGAGGAAATGTCTCATCACCCAGTGAGGATGATTCTGAACCTAATAAATTCTGTTCCTCACTACTGTATACCTGCCTTATAGCAACCCCTTGCTTGCACAATACTGCTGACCATAGAATTGCTTTTCTGGGAAACATAGGAACTCCATCCTGTTAAATATTTCCCTCTCTAGGGAGGGTCTAGACGGTTTAGTCTCATCTGTTTGATTTTGTGTGTGAGCATGGGTGTATGCTTGCCAGTATGTGCATGTGGAAGTCAGAGGACAGCTGTGGTACTGAGCTCTCACCTCCCTGCTTGCCGAGGCATACAGTGGGCTAATAGGTCCTTAATCATCTAAGCATTTCTCCTGTCTTTGCCTGCCATTGTGCTATGGGAGTGTTGAGATTACAGATGTGCACCACTCCTGCCCACTGTAAATGTGCATTCAGGGGGTTGAGCTCTACCTGCCAGGCTTATTCAACAAATGCTTACCCGATGAGCTGTCTTCCTAGTTCATTTATTATTTGGCAAATATTTATCAATATAGACATCTACGGCAATAAATTTCCCTTTGAGCACTGCTTTAGCTGTGTCTCTTCTGTGTTGGTATGTTGTGTTTTAATTTTCTCTATTTATTTATTTATTTATTTATTTATTTATTTATTTATTTTTGAGACTGAGTCCTCTGTAGCCCAGGCTGGCCTTGAACTTGGCTGTGTCGCTGAGGCTAGTCTTGAACTTGTGGTTTTTCTACCGCTTCTCTCCTAAGTGCTGGGATTACAAACCTATGCCATCACACCCTGCTGTGTTTTCGTTTTCATTCACACAGAACATTCTCTGGTTTCCCTCATGGTCTCTTCATGGATCTCCTGGAGGAGAGGGTGCAAGCTAGGTTTTGCTTAATCTCAACATGTTAACAGATATTTGTCAAGCACCCACAGCTTGTCCACATATGCACTGTGGTAGGTGCTGGGCATAATGACAAACAGAACAGGCCTCTTTAGTCCTTGCGGCCTTAGTAAAACACACGGTAAATTATGTTGGTGCCACTAACTGTGGTGGAAATAGCTGGATTATAGACAAGAGGTGACAGTAAGAGGACAGAAACCTGAATGGGATTTGGGGAGGTATCATTGACTTCTGGGGAATGATGTCCCAGGGCAGACAAGGAATCCACGGAGTTTGTTGTTTTATGAGGTAGAGTCTCGTGTATCCCATGCTGGCCTCACACTCACTATGGAGACGAGGCTAGCCTTGAATCCTGCCTCAGGTTCCCAGATGGTGGGATTACAGATGCGCATCACCATGGCTGGCAGAATCTGTTGAGGAGTGACCGCCACTTCCCACCAGATCCCTGCCATGAACAGCCCAGAGAACACACTTAATGTTTCTATAACTAACCTATAGTTCCTCTGCTTTGGGGTACAGTTTCCTTACGGGTTGGGATTCTCTCCTGGCTCTCAAGCCAATTGCTCTACTACAGGCTTGTCTTGAGGACTTGGAGGAATTTAGTAGTTCTCTCTGAGGCTCAGTGTTCTCTCTGTCCAGCGGAGAGAATAAATGTCTCCAAGAGTTGTGGTGGGGATCTGATGGGTTGAAAGGTGGAAGTGCCTAGGACAGGCCAGTCTGTGTGAAAGGTTGGAACGGTTCTAATGGAAGCAAACAAAGCCGGTAACATTGTCCCCGCCCCCTTCCGTAGCACTGCCTGCATCCTTACACTACATCTTTTCCTCCTTGGCAGCTGAGTCCCTCACTTAGGTTCTGTATACAATCTCCTGGTTGCTACACCTTTGGTTCTTCTGGAGATTAGATTAAATGGAGGGGGATGTGAAGGGCACGGGAAGTTGAATTTTGTCGAAGAACACTCAGAACTGGTTACAGAAAATATCTAATTCTGAGTAGAGGTAGGTTGGAGTCACCTTTCACTTGTGGGTACATAGAGCCATCCAGACAGACTGAATAAAAGGTCATGAGTTGGGGAGGTGGGAGATGACATCCTGTTCCCCCAGGGCTCCTTAGCTCCTTAGTCTAGTGTGTAAGGAAGAGGAGGGCTAGACACAGAGCCAGGACTGCAGGGGCAAGGAATGACGGGCAAGAGTGGAATCTTTCTCCCATTGACTCTTCAAAAATGGAGTGGGACTCCTGGGTCTGAGAACACAGAAATGAACTCCAGGAGTTAGCTTCCAGTGCAGAGGGAAGGACAGACAGACAGCAGGAATGGAAAACGTACTGTAAAGATGGTGCAAGAAAGTACCTGCCTGCCAGGAGGTGTTCAGAGAAGCCCTCCTTATCCAAACACAGGAGTTGAGGTCGGCCCAGGTATGTGATGTCATCATTAGCACACACAGCACAGGGTGGAATGCACACTGCTGATGAGCGCTGTGTTTCTCCTTCCTCAAATGCCCATGCAGAGAGCCCATCAGAACCTAGGTCTGCCCAGGCCTGAGTGTCTATCCCATGGCTTTGAGCTGCCTTCCAGGAGTGCAGGCACTCTTGTCCTAAGCGAGTAGATTTCCCTTCCTACTTTGCATTCAAAGAATATTCGATTTTCCCACAGTATTGAGCTCTTACCCAGTTTTCTTGGCTTCCCTATTTCTGCTACTGGAATGAATACTAACAATTAATAGAAGGCATTCCCATTACCATGGTGTTCACAGGGTGTTAGGAGGAGCCTTCCACGTGTTAATGTTAAAGTGCTGAATCTTTACAACAGTCCTGTGCTTGATAGATCCTGCTTGTCCCAGACCTTGTCCCCGCTTCCCCCCACTACCACAAGGTTACCTCAAACGTGCAGCAGTCTCTGCCTCCTGAGTACTTGGATTGTCCTCAGTTAAAATGGTTGTGAGGCACAGAGGTTCAGTCATTTGCCCATGGTCACACAGCTAGAAAGTGACTGCACTCTTGCACGTGTGCACAACACACACACACACGCACACAAAATGGTTGGTGGTAGCACACACCTTGAATCCCAGTATTTGGGAGGCAGAGGTAGGTGGATCTCTGAGTTCAAGGCCAGATTGGTCTACAGAGTGAGTTCTAGGACAGCCAGGGCTACACAGAGAAACCCTGTCTCAAAACAAAACCAACCAACCAACCAAAAAACAGAAAAGAATAAAGGGGGTTGTGTGTGGAGGCTTAGGTTTGAAGCTGGCCTTTTGGTTCACGAAGCTGCTGTCTAAACCACTCAGATGGAAGCTGTTCTTATCCTTGTTTTACAGTAGCAAAACCAGAGAGGATTGAGACCAGGGGAAGGTATGGTGCGTGGAGTGCAGGGAATCAATTTAGAGGAGAGTTTAAGCACCTCTCTCCACACCCCAGGTCCTCAGGGAATTAGTCTTGGAAGAGAAAGCAGGTGCATGAAGTCAGTCTGAGGATGGCTAGGGAGGTGTGTGAAGATCCAGGAAAAGATGGCCGTACGGTTGGGAGGAGACTGGCAATGACCCCGAGTCCACACAGGCTAGAGGAAAGCAGATGGATGGGTGGAGTGACAGGCGAGCTAAGAATGCTGTTGGTGTTAGGAGCATGGATCTAGTTCCCTTTGCTTGTTACTCACGGGCTCTCTTTGCTCAGTCCCCATCCTCTTCTTCGCAGGGTCTCCCTTCTTTCCACCGACCAGAGATGGAGGCAAACCAGGCAGGCAGCGCTGCTGGGGGTGGCGGGAGCAGCGGCATCGGGGGCGAGGACGGGGTCCACTTCCAGAGTTACCCATTTGACTTCCTGGAGTTCCTCAACCACCAGCGCTTTGAGCCCATGGAGCTATACGGGGAACACGCCAAGGCAGTGGCAGCCCTGCCCTGTACCCCGGGGCCCCCGCCCCAGCCCCCACCCCAGCCTCCTCCACCCCAGTATGACTACCCACCCCAGTCCAGTTTCAAACCCAAGGCGGAGGCTCCTTCCTCATCATCATCTTCATCCTCATCTTCCTCATCTTCGTCTTCCTCATCCTCTTCCCAAGCCAAGAAGATGGATCCGCCGTTGCCACCCACCTTCGGGGCGCCGCCCCCTCCACTCTTTGATGCTGCCTTCCCTGCTCCACAATGGGGAATAGTCGACCTCTCTGGACACCAGCACCTGTTTGGGAACCTGAAACGAGGTGGGCCCACACCTGGGCCTGGAGTAGCATCAGGACTGGGCACTCCCACTGGGACTCCAGGGCCACTTCCCACACCCTCGCAGACCTCGCCTGGGACCACAGTGGGGGCAGCCTGCGACCCAACCAAGGACGACAAGGGCTATTTCCGAAGGCTGAAGTACCTGATGGAGCGGCGCTTCCCGTGCGGTGTTTGCCAGAAGTCCTTTAAACAGTCCTCACATCTGGTCCAGCACATGCTAGTGCACTCCGGGGAACGACCATATGAATGCGGCATCTGTGGCCGCACCTACAACCATGTCTCCAGTCTCATCCGCCACCGACGCTGCCACAAGGATGTGCCACCCACACCAACTGGGGGTACGCCACAGCCTGGGCCCGCACTTCCTTCACTGGGCCTCCCGGTACCCACAGCCAGTGCCACAGCCAGCTCTGACCCCACCGCAGTGTCCTCTGGCCCCTCAGCCACCCCTGCAACGCCTGCCACCTCCACTGATGGGAACACCACCCCTGCTGCCCCACCCGGGGTGGCCATGCCTCCCTCCGCCACTACTGGTGGGGAGGGCCCATTTGCCTGCTCCCTCTGCTGGAAGGTCTTCAAGAAGCCTAGCCACCTCCACCAGCATCAGATCATCCACACGGGTGAAAAACCCTTCTCCTGCTCCGTGTGCAGCAAAAGCTTCAACCGGAGGGAGAGCCTCAAGCGGCATGTGAAAACGCACTCGGCCGACCTGCTGCGCCTGCCCTGTGGCATCTGTGGCAAGGTCTTCCGCGATGCCTCCTACCTCCTCAAGCACCAGGCGGCCCACGCAGCAGCCGGGACCCCGAGGCCGGTGTACCCCTGCGACCTGTGCGGGAAAACATACTCCGCGCCGCAGAGCCTGCTGCGACACAAGGCTGCCCACGCGCCACCTGTGGCCACCGAGCCGGCCAAGGACGGGGCAGCCTCTGTCCCACAGCCACCTCCCCCTTTCCCCCCAGGCCCTTATCTCTTGCCAGCGGACCCATCCACTACAGATGAGAAAGCCACGGCGGCCGCAGCGGCTGTGGTGTATGGTGCGGTGCCTGTCCCACTTCTCAGCGCACATCCGCTTCTGCTCGGCAGTGCGGGGAATGGCGGTGCTGGCGGCCCGGGCGCGGGCGGCCCGGGCAAGACGTTCTGCTGCGGTATCTGTGGGCGCGCGTTTGGGCGCCGAGAGACCCTGAAGCGCCACGAGCGCATTCACACCGGCGAGAAGCCCCACCAGTGCCCGGTGTGTGGCAAGCGTTTCCGGGAGTCCTTCCATCTGAGCAAGCACCACGTGGTGCACACCCGAGAGCGGCCCTACAAGTGCGAGCTGTGCGGCAAGGTCTTCGGGTACCCGCAGAGTCTCACACGCCACCGCCAGGTGCATCGGCTCCAACTGCCCTGCGCCCTGGCCGGAGCCACAGGCCTTGCCACCGGCCAGGGGACTGGGGCCTGTGGACCCGGAGCTGCGGGCACTTCAGGTGGGCCGGCCGACCTGAGCTACGCCTGCTCAGACTGCGGGGAACATTTCCCGGATCTCTTCCACGTCATGAGTCACAAGGAAGTTCACATGTCAGAGAAGCCGTACGGCTGTGACGCCTGCGGCAAGACGTTCGGTTTCATCGAGAACCTCATGTGGCACAAGCTGGTTCACCAGGCCGCCCCGGAGCGCCTTCTCACGCCAACATCCAGTGGCCCCCAGTCCTCTGATGGCGGCGGCAGCAGCAGCAGCAGCGGCGGCACCGATGCATCCAGCGTGCTGGACAACGGACTGGCCGGAGAGGTGGGGACGGCTGTGGCAGCGCTGGCTGGGGTGTCTGGGGGCAGCGAGGATGCGGGTGGGGCGACGGTGGCCGGATCGGGTGGCGGGACCAGTTCAGGCGCTGAGCGCTTCAGCTGTGCCACATGCGGCCAAAGCTTCAAGCATTTCCTGGGCCTGGTGACTCATAAGTATGTGCACCTTGTGCGCCGGACCCTGGGTTGCGGCCTCTGCGGCCAGAGCTTTGCAGGCGCGTATGATCTGCTCCTGCACCGCCGAAGCCACCGGCAGAAGCGGGGTTTCCGCTGCCCAGTATGTGGGAAGCGCTTCTGGGAGGCGGCCCTACTGATGCGCCACCAGCGCTGTCACACAGAGCAGCGGCCCTACCGGTGCGGCGTGTGCGGTAGAGGCTTCCTGCGCTCCTGGTACCTGCGGCAGCACCGCGTGGTGCACACAGGCGAGCGCGCCTTCAAGTGCGGCGTGTGCGCCAAGCACTTCGCGCAGTCTTCTAGCCTAGCGGAGCACCGGCGGCTGCACGCTGTGGCCCGGCCTCAGCGCTGCGGCGCCTGCGGCAAGACCTTCCGCTACCGCTCCAACCTGCTGGAGCATCAGCGGCTGCACCTGGGCGAGCGTGCCTACCGCTGTGAGCACTGCGGCAAGGGCTTCTTCTACCTGAGCTCCGTGTTGCGCCATCAGCGTGCCCACGAGCCCCCGCGGCCCGAGTTGCGCTGTCCCGCCTGTCTCAAGGCCTTCAAGGATCCTGGCTACTTCCGGAAGCACCTGGCTGCCCATCAGGGCGGCAGGCCCTTCCGCTGCTCCTCCTGCGGTGAGGGCTTCGCCAACACCTATGGTCTGAAGAAACACCGCCTGATGCACAAGGCTGAGGGTCTTGGGATGCCCGGAACAGGGGGAAGCGCCTTGGCCGGAAAGGATCCCTGACCAGGGGGTTTCAATGTGCCACTCCAATCAGATATTCCCTTCTGGACTCTACCCTTCTGGGGCTGCTGGTCAGACTCTCCCCACCCCTCCTTCCTGTCACCTATTCTAAAGAATCCCAGGTGGTCTAGCTTCCTTCCAGTCCCATGCCCTACAAACCGAAGATTAAATTGCTCCGATCCCAGGCCATTCTGGCCCACCCTTCTTCATCTGTCAGACACTGGACTTGATCCTCTGTCCAGTTGATCTCTTTTGTAAACCTCATCTGCCACCCAGCAGCGTTCTGGCTCCAGTGAACTCTGTGGTGGAGATGGGTTTGAACTCCTCACCCCCTCCACTTCCTCTGGGACCTGGCTGGACAGTGGACTTTGAACAGAGTTGGGAGGGCACAAGTGGGGGGTCTGGGTGCTCTTGGATGGGGGTGGGGGTGGGGAGGGGACAGACGCGGCTTGTACAGAGCAGAGAACAATAAATGGTATCAACAGGGCCGCTGGGGTCTGTCCTTGCTATTCCTAGGGGACTCCACTGACTGGCTGGCCTCAGCACCTCACACCACTCTCTTTTCACCTAGGTTGAGTGAGGACTTGCCATGTCCCGGGCATTAGCCTATGAATTGGGCAAGTGGAGAGGAGTGAAACAGGGAAGTCGAACTCTCAGGAACTGATTTGAGATCCCGAGACTCCCCTCCATGATGCTCTCAGCCACCATGACCGGAAGCCTCCTGTCTGCCAAGCCCTGACCTGGGCACTAGGGAAACTGATGAATTGATTGGACATGCCATTCACACTCCAGTAGGAGAGCACACTGGGAGAGCATACCTGTGGAACTTAAGAGTCTGCAGACTTACTGGAGATGGTCTCATGGAGTCTAGGCTAGCTATGGACTTGCTTTGTAGGTAAAGATAGGCTTGATTTTTTTTTTTTTCCCTCTGAGACACGGTCTCTTTATGTAATCCTTGGCTCTCCTGGAACTCTGTAGACCAGACTGGCCTTGAATTTACAGAAATCCACCTGCCTCTGCCTCTCTGGTGCTGAGATTAAAGGTATGCACCACCATGGCTGGCTACTCTTGAACTTTTTTTTTTAATCTAGATTTTAAAAACAATTAAAGAAATTAGGTATATGGGTATTTTGCCTGTGTGTATGTTTGTGCACCACTTGGTGCCTGGTGCCCATGGAAGCCAAAAGAGGGCACTGGATCCTCTGGATATAGAGCCACGGGGGGCGGAGGGGTGAGTTACCATGTGGGTGTTGAGAATCAAACCCCGATCCTCTGGGAGACCAGTTAGTGCTCTTAATTGCTGAGCCATTACTTTAGCCCCACATTTTATCTTCATTCTCAGTTCGACACATATCTGTATATGTATGTATGTATACACACACACACACACACACAAACACCCCTTGCTTATACCCACACAGCCTCTGCTATGCCCTCATCCCTCTCCTTTTCGCACTGAACCCTTTCTTGCCAACAAGCCTGTCTTATTTTCATGTCTTTTCTTTTCTTGGTGACCGATTGTGTTTAGTCAGGATTGCATATATAACCATGGGTTGGAAGGCTTGTTTACCTGAGCAGGGGGCAGCTAGTCAGTAGCTATACCACTGAGGACTATGGTCCCCGTCTCCAGGCAGCCATTAACTGCCTATAGCTCCTCAGAGATGGGTGGGACATTATGAGCCTCTTCCTGGAGACTAAAGACTTGTGATCCTCCTGTTTCCATGTACAAAGGGAAAATGGGCATGGACCATTATGCCTGGCTTCTGTGGTGCTGGAGATTGAACCCAGGACACCATGCGCACTAGAAAAGCATTCTAGTAGCGGAACTGCATCTCCAGCCCCACTACCCTCTTCTGATGGAGTGTGCAAACTCCTTTAGCTTCCAGTCCCCCACTTCTCATAGATTTGAACACTGAGCCAGGGTGTCAGTTGCTATATTTCACCTCTCCTTGAATCTGACCACTTATCTACACTACCACTGTGTTGGTAGTCCTCGCCGAAAGCAGCAAGGAGTTTCTGTTTAGTGGCAAGGATCCATGTGAGAAAGCAAAACCACTCTGTTGTCTTGGGAAGAAGCAAGCTCCTTTCTTTGGAGGAAGTGGTGAGTTTTCATTATGCATCATCTGAGGGTGGTCTCTTGGGGATGCTGGATGAACATGGACTGAACTAGTAACACATCTTCTCCATGAGAAAACTGGGGGCCCTGCTGAGTAAGTACACCAACCTCCAACGTCCCTTCATTGCACAAAACTTCTTACAACACAACCAAGTAGCCATCTCCAGACAGCCCAAGCCTGGTTACTTGCCATTCCAGATAATGGATAACTACCCAGAGAACTGGAATACAAGACTGACAGGAAACCTTTCAGAAAGTCTTTTAATAGGAACAGACTGGAAGTTCTCACTCTCACCCCATACTCCAACTCCCAAGTCCTTTTCGCCCCTCCCTCACCACAGTGTCATCTCTTACTTTACAACCCACCAAAGGTTGTCATCAGCTAACCCTGCCTCTGAATTGCCCATGACTAGGCAGGAAGCTGTCTACCTCAGAGTGGAGAACAGAGAGATTGGAAACGTCTTTGTAGATATGGGAGACTACAGGCTCTGAGCCTAAGGCTTACGGGGATACCAAGTGATTGCCTGCTTGTAGTCTGTGCTCTCAGTTGCTTCCAGAAGAGTTTAGTGGGTTAAAGAGAAACCACTATGGGGTAGGATGGAGAAGCAAGCAGAGCTTAGAATGAATCTTTATGAGCAGGTTCACATCTGAGAGATGTGGTTTAGGTACTCTCTGGTTTTGAGGGAAAGGTCTCCCAGCATCCCTTTAGAGATGGCTTGGTGGGCATCTTCTGCACTGGAAGGTAGGTATCCCAGGACCAGTGCAAGCCAGTTGAAGTCGGCAAAAGATTTCATTGGACCAGAGGTGATGGTACATAAAGTCTTGCTTTCCAGTCTGGTTTGGTCTGGACCTCATGATCCTCCTGCCTCAGCCTCCACTGTACTGGGATTATAGGCCTTTGCCATGTCTAGCTGTCTGTGTATTCTTAGATATATCTGGGTATCCATAGACTCACAAGTACCTCTTTCCTGAGTCTCAAGTGTAGCATGGGTTTCTGGGAGACCAGAACCAAGTTCCCTTTTTCATCTAACTTCAACTGCTCATTATCTCTCCTTGGCCTCTGCCTCTATTTGCCCACCCACCTTTCCTACAATATGCTTCCTACTTCCAGCCTACTGGTCAACCTTCACATTCACCTTCACAGTCTCTCTACACCCTTCTTCCGTAGTGTTCTCTGTCCCACATTTACTTCCTGATTGTTGGGACACCGAAGATGATCTCAGGTGGCCTCCGGGCCCTGGTCCATGGAAGTGGGTGCGCTGGTGCTTGCGGAAGTTGGAGGAGTTATTGAAAGTGCGGTCGCAGAGCATGCATCTGAAGGGGCGCTCGCCTGTGTGGATACGGGCATGACCGCTCAGCACAGAGGACTGAGTGAAGCCTTTGCCACAGATGCCACAGTGGTAGGGTCGCTCCCCTGTGTGCACCCGCTCGTGGTCTCGCATGTCTGAGGAGCGGCGGAAGGGCTTGGCACAGAACCTGCAGGCGAAAGGCTTGCCTACCATGGCACCCGCAGCTGCTGCAGCCATCACCACCTCCGACCTCTCCTGGGCTACCCTTGAGTTCAGCTGTCCTGTTGTGGCTGTGGGTGGAAGCCTTCCAGAGGTACCTGGCTCCACCCCATGTCGGTGTTGGTGCCGGAGCAGAGGTGCCAAGGCCTTAAAAGCCCGTGGGCAGAGGGGACAGCGGTAAGGCCGTTCTCCTGTGTGCAAGCTGTAATGGGCACGCAGGCTAGCAGGACCTGGACAGCTGTGGCCACACACGTGACAACGGCTAGGGTCCCCGCCTTGCCCAAGCCCCTCCACACTTGCCAGGTGGCCATGCTCATGAAACAGCAGCTCTGAGACTAGACGGAAGGCAGCAGGACAGAGGGCACAATGAAAAGATCCTGGCTCTGGGGGCTCAGGGACCGATGTGGTATCTGTGACTTTTACCACCTGGATCTCGATGAGGTCACCTGGGGGTGTGGCAGGGCGGCCACTATCAGGCACCAGGACCTGCAGAGCAGAAGAAAACAGGAGGCTGTGGTCCCTGCTTGGAGAGCTTTCTTCAGTATGCCTCCACTTATCAAAACATTTGTCTGGGCTGTGAAGATGCCTCAGTAGGGAAACACACCAAATCTAACGACCTGAGTACGATCCCTGGGACCCCCAGGGTGGAAAGATGGAACTGACTTTCTGGAGATGCCCTCTGACCTCCAAATGCCTGTGCTATGGCACACTCGCACACCCTCTCCTCACATAAGTAAATAAATGAAAAATAAATTTTAAATAAAATATTTGCTCCTCTGAAGTCCCCTGTATCCTGTTTTGTTTTTATGATTTATTATTTGCTTACTTAGAGACAAGGTTTCACTGTGTAGCCTAGCTGGTTTGGTACTTGCTGTGAAGACTAGTTTGGCCTAGAATTCACAAAGTTCTGCCTGCCTCTGCCTCCCAAGTGCTGGGATTAAAGGCATGTGCCTGCCATCAAGCCCAAGTATTCCTTTTTATGTTATGTGTGAGAGCCTGCATGTATGTTCACCATGTGTATCAGTGTCCATGGAAGTCGGGAGTGAGGATCAGATCCTCTATAAGTGGAGTTACAGATGGTTGTGAGCCTCCATGTGGATGCTAGGAACTGAAACTCTAAAGGTGCAGCCAGTGTTCTTAAATGCGGAGCCATCTCTCCAGCCTCATCCCTTGGTTTCTTAACACTGCTATCCATGATACCAAATTCTTGCTGGATCCGTTCTGACATTTCTCCTTCTTGCCCCAAATATACCACAGACACGGCGGTGCCTCTCCTCTGTACTAGTTAAAAGCCCCATACTTTCTTCTTCCCCTTAGAATGAAAAACACCACTCAAAGGGAATCCCTGTTCCTACTCCTGCCCCTCATTATCCACCTCTCCTAGAACAACCTAAATGGACCTCGGAAAATGTAAATGAGGTCATGACATTTCGCCACTCCAAGCCCTCCAATTGCACTTAAAACCTCGCGTCCTTCCTATAACATCTAACAGGATCTGGATCGTGCTTATCTCACTGACTACAGTGTAAATATAAGCCGGCACCCAGCTGACTTCTGCCTTTTAAATTTAGCTCGCTCCACCCACACTCTGAGTGTACTTTTTATTTCTCTTATAGGACATATTACAATAACTTCTCTTTATCGTCACTTTTTCTCCTCATAAGACTGTAAGGTGCAAGAGGATGCAATCGTTGTCCGTTTTGGTCCCTGGAGCTTTAAATGTTTGTTGAATGAACCAATATTCTGAGTTACTTTCCAGTCACTAGTTAGAAGTCCTAAACTCATCCGAAGCACCCATCTCTCCTCCCTTGGGCATTCGCATGGCAGTCCTTGTATCATCACATGCCATACCAACATGGTGACCGGATTATAGCTCTCTTTTGAGGTCACCTTCCCAACCATCCACTAGCCCTATAATTTCCCTGATGCCCCGCCCCTCTTAAGACGCCACACTTCTTTATGCAAATAAACTCCCTAGTCCTCTCCCAGGACCCACCAGGCCCAAAACACAACCTGTCTTCAGGACCCGCCTTAACCAGGCTTCGCTCCTCATTCCCCATAGGCTCCTCCCTAAACCCCGCCCCAGAGTGTTACCATACCCACGCCCAGTTCTCCTAGGTCCCGCCTTGACTCCGCCCCCTGCCCTGCGATCTTCTTCGCTGTGAACCCAGCCCAGACACCCTCGTCGCCCGCACCAGGTCCGGCGGCTCCGGGGATGGCGACTCCCAGGTCGGTGAGCTCGGAAACGGGAGGTCCGGGCGCGCGGCGGCCATCTTGTACCTAAGCCCTGTCCCTGAGGGCAAAGATTGCTCCGCGAGGGGCGGGGCCGGGCTGGCGGCGCTGCGCAAGCGCGGGGCAGGTCGACGAGGGGCGGGGTCATAACGGGTAAATGGGCGGGGCCATGGCGGGGAGGGATAGGCAGAACAGGCAAAAAGTCTTCAATATTTGTCAGTCTTCTACGTAGACATACTGAACTTGCAGCTGAGAGGTCGGCCACACCCTAGCGACAAATTCTGACGTCTCCCCACTTTTTTTTGTCTAGGCATGTTTTCACTATATATTCCTGAACGGACGAGAACTTTCTATGTAGACCAAGATGGCCTCACAGAGATCTGCTTAAAGTGCCTCTGAACCACTTCAAGTCCCTTTTTAAAACTAACTCCAGCCGAGCCCGAGGTTTGCTTATGTGAACTTCAAGGCATGGAAGATTCTTTGTTTTATGTCACAGAAAACATTTCTGAGATTACTTTCAATTCATGGTGCAAAGGGTAGTGGCTCAGTTGATGAATGGAAGGTTTTCTAAGTCTGTGTCAAGGATGGGACTCATGACCGACAGCTCAGGTGATTCCAGACGGAAGCAACCCCCTGGGAGTTGCTGGAATGTTTGGAAGCAAAGAGCACAAAGAGGGTTTTTGGGAGCACTTAGGACAGAGCTCTTTTGAGAGTTCAACTCACTCCCAGGGTCTGGCTTTGTGACTGGATAAGTCACAACACTTTTGTGGCCAACTCCTCCTCTTCTCCTCCTCTTTCTCCTCACAAGGCCTCACACAGTGAGAGCTGGCCTCAGACTTACTGTGTAGTCTATACTGGCCTTGAACTCAATTTTGATTTTTAAAGTTCTTCTTCTTCTTCTTCTTCTTCTTCTTCTTCTTCGCCTTCTCCTTCTTCTTCCTCCTCCTCCTCTTCTTCTCTTCCTCATTCTCCTCCTCTTCTTCTCTTCCCTCTTCCCCTTCTCCTCCTCTCTTCCCTTCCCCTCCTCCTCCTCTCTTCCCTTCCCCTCCTCCTCCTCTCTTCCCTCTCCCCTCCTCCTCCTCTCTTCCCACCTCCCCTCCTCCTCCTCCTCTCTTCCCTCCCCCTCCTCTCTTCCCTCCTCCCCCCTCCTCTTCTCTCCTCCCCTCCTCCTCTTCCCTCTTCCCCTCCTCCTCCCCTCCTCCTCCTCCTCCTCCTCTCTTCCCTCCTCCCCCTCCCCTCCTCCTCCTCCTCCTTCTCCTCTCTCCTCTCTTCCCTCCTCCCCCTCCCCCTCCCCCTTCTCCTTGTATGGTTGCTCTGCTTGCATATAGGTATGTACACCACTTGTTTGTAGTGCCCATGGACATCAGAGATGGTGAAGTTATAGAGGGTTGTTAGCTGTCATGTGAGTGCTGGAACCAAACTCAGGTCCCCTGCATGAGCAACAAATGCTTTAACTTCTGAGTTATCTCCCCAGCCCTGGCCTTGAACTCTTGATCTTTTCTGGTACTGTGATTATAGGCATGCAGCCCCATGCCCAATTTCATTCCTCTCTCTTCTGTAAAGACCTTTAGAAGTGTGTGGAAACAGCCAGAAAAGAGCCATGGGAATGCTTTGAAACTCTGTTTATTTGGATAGACCAGGAGACCCGAACATTTATCATCATGGCTAAGATTTCTGTTCTTAGGGGGGAGTATGATAGCATTTCTGCTTGAAGTTACATGTGACCATGTGATTTCCTTTAGCTAGAAAAGTTGTGAACCACTGGCTCAGAGGTTAAGAGCACTAGCTGTTTTCTGTAGAAATAGTGTATCAGGTTGAGAATGCAGTTTTATTGAGTACTTGCCTAATATGTGCAAGACCCTAGGTTCTGTCCCTAGACCACACACACACACACACACATTAATTTTTAAAAGCTATCTTTAAATTTTTATTATATTTTTATTTATGTATATGGTGTGTGGATACCTGTGGAAGCCAGAAGAGGGGGATGGATTCCCTGGAGCTGGAGTTACAGGTGGTTTTGAGCCATCTAACCTAGGTGCTAAGACAGGGTTTCTCTGTGTAGCTCTGGCTGTCCTGGAACTCCCTCTGTAGACCAGGCTGGCTTTGAGTTCAGAGATCCACCTGCCTCTGCCTCCTGAATCCTGGGATTAAAGGAGTGTGCCATTACTGCTTGCTCAGAAAACATTATCTTAAAGCTGAGCTTGGGGCTGGAGGAATAGATGGCTCAAGGTGTAGGAGCACCGGCTGGTCTTCCAGAGAACCCCAGTTTTATCCCTAGCACCTATACAGTAGTTCGTATTTGTAGGCACACTTTTTTTTTTTGCAACCTTTTAATAAGGGTTCAACTTTTCCTTTAGCCCACCACCCAGTAGAGGTAGTGGAAGAAAAAAGTTATTAGGATATGGGGGAAGTGGACCTGTTCAGTAACAGTTCTTTGGGGGACCGAGCTTGATCTTCTTGGGCAGCAGTTCCATCCTGTAACAAACACCAACTAGAATTCAGTAGCTGCAGACCAGTCCTCTAGGCAGGTGGACACCAGGCACAGACCCACGGCTATACTCCAGTTCTTTCAGCAAGCAGACACTAGGCAGCTGTAGTTCAATCCTGAAGAAATTTGCCATCCTCACCAACTGACCTGAGGTGAGAACTTTGAGAACCTCAAAAGCAGTTCTTGGGGGAGTTTCTTTCAATGGCGGCATTACCACAAGTTGAACTCAACAGTGCTATGTAAGTCAAACCAATACGTGCATGTCTTTAACAAAGAATAGCTAAACAAAGACAGAGCAAACCAAACCAATGCTCTAGCTCCTACTGTCTGTGGAGTCATATTTATACTCTTTCATCACGGGTCCTTTCACATGTTTGCTATATCCAAACATCTTTTCACCTGTGTCTGCTTCAGGAAAACATTCTTTTCTTTCACGTTTCTGCTTTAGCAAGACATCTATCTTTTCACCTGTATGCCCCAGCAAAACACCATTTGACATAACTGACTTTCCAAAGTAAGTAGAGATGTCCACTTCACACATCACTCTGTAACTCTAGCTCCAAGAATTGTAATGCTCTCTTCTGGTCTCTACGGGTATCAGAACAAACACACACACACACACACACACACACACACACACACACACACACACACAAAACAAGATTAAAAACCAAGCCTGGGAGGTGTGGCAGTAAGGGTGCTTGTCACCAAGCCTCATGACCTGAAATCCGTCATTGAACCCCACAGAGTATGATGGAGGAACTAGCCTGCAAGTTATCCTTTCACCTCCAGATGTGCCTCTTGGAACATGGGTGCCCCATACACTAAATAAATAAGTAAACAAATACGTAAATACATAACAATGGAGCCTGATTAAGCTGTAGATGCTATTTAAAAATGATAAACACGTATATGGATACTCACCACACAAGTCTCATAACTTTTCTATTGGGCCATTATTTACAATTTTAAACAACGTTTACTCATTGTGTGTATGGGAGTGCTTTGCCTGCATGCCTGTACACCATGGGCATGCCTGGTGCCTGAGGAGCTCAGAAGAGGATGTCTGGTCTGGTGGTGGTGCACGCCTTTCATCCCAACACTTGGGAGGCAGAGGGCATCAGATCTCTTGAGTTTGAGGCCAGCCTGGTCTACAGAGTGAGTTTCAGGATGGTCGGGGCTATACAGAGAAACCCTGTCTAGAAACAAAACAAAACAAAACAAAACACTGAACTCTATCCCCACCCCCTCCCACAAGGAGGGAAAAAAAGAAGAGGTGGTCAGATGCCCTGGAACTGCAGTTACCGGTTCCTATGACCTACCATATGGATGCTGGGTTCAGTTCCCAGCAGCAAGTGGTCTTAAATGGCTGGGCCATCTCCCAAGCCCCCTTAGTTTGATTGTTTTTAATAAATCATTAGTCTCAAGGAACTTGTAGACGGTTTTAAAAATCTGACATACATATAGGCATTCATGCAGGCAAACACCCAGACACCTAAAATAAAAGAGAATAATTAAAAATAACATTAAAAGCTGGGCATGGTAGTGCAGGTATTTAATCCGAGCAGTCAGCAGTCAGAGGCAGGCAGATCTCTGTTAGTTTGAGGCCAGCCTGGCCTACATAGCAAATTTTAAGACAACTAGGGTTATACAGTGAGACCATGCCTCAGAAATAAAAGATTTACTGTTGAAGGTAGTGTTAGAATACTTTTTTCGGCTTACATTTCATCAACTATTTATCGTAGCTTGTTCTCTCTCTCTC